TTGTGTTGCGTTGTGGTGGGAGCGATCGCTGCAGGCGCTACTGCATGCGCATTCGTCAGCGCTTAGGAAATGTTGAAACAAGTTTTCTCCCTTCCAGCTTTTGAAGACTAAGCGTGCTAATCCGTTCACCTTTTGTTGGAATCAACAGGGATTTTGCCCACTGGGTGGCGCAGTCTCGGCGGAAAGGCGTCTGGCCTACAGGTAGCCTGTGGTTTCTCTTGACTGAAATCTCATCATTTTCTGCTTTCGACGCTCACCTTTCCATTTTTAACCATCGAAACTGCTTTAATTCATTCTCTAAGTGCTTCTTAAGGCCTCGTGCCGGCCAGGGTTTTAGCCCAAATCTGGGGAAGTTATCGGCAGCATCTCCCTCCGGTTTCGGCCTTTTATCACATTTCTCTTTCTCTCTCCATAGAGGGGGAGTGAGAGGCGCCGCCTCTACGTAAGCGTCCCGGAATTGGGGGCCACGCAGTCGACCTTCTCAAGAAAACCTTCACTCTGAGGCAGACGCTGGCGACTGGCGGCTCTCTTTTGTTGCTTTGCCACAGCAGTCAACTACCTGAGCTTCCGACGGCCACCGTACCATACAGAAAAGTAGATAGCACCTTACTTGACTTCCTTACGTTACNAGCTGTAACGCAGCAGAAAGCGTAGAGCCTGACCGTTAGCGGCTGCGAATGAGATGGCGGAAATGAAGCACCCAGAAGAAACAACACCCCAAAACGACACAACGCCGACAAGGGAGGAGATTCCAGGGTCCGGAGGACACGCAGAAGATGCATCTCTGGCACCCAAGGCCGACTCCGCCGATTCCACCCAAGAGGCTGCGGCTGCTGTCCAGGGTAATTAGCTTGGCTGCTGCTCCTCGTTTCCCTGTAGAGCAAAACGCCGGTGTTGTGCGCTCCTAAACAGTTTTCATGGATGTGTGTTTCCCGTCTTTGCAGATGAAGATCCTCCAACCCTCACCTGCCTCGTCGATGTAAACGTAAGACCGGCGGTCCCTTTCGGGCCGCATAGCAGGAGCAGCCAAAGCAGCCGGACTAGATGGAACGGTCTGTATGACACCTTGTGACTGTTTAAAGCCACATCTGCATGAGCCCTCTGCGGAATATCCATGCAATAGTGGCTTTGAGCACACACGCGTGCTGGAGTGAGTGTTTGGTTGCCTCTTACTCTGTGTATTATCTCTGTCGGCGTCTCACTGCGTGAGCTTGTCTGCTTGTTAGCCTCTGAATGCTTACGTCTGTTTGCGTGCTGAGTGGGCGTCAGCTATTGGGGCAGCTGCAAGAGATGGGTTTCAGCGAGGCGCGGGCTGGACGTGCGCTGCTGGCAATTCGAGGAGGTCCCGTCACAGTGGAGGCGGCATTAGCGTGGATAGAAGAGCACGAAGAGGACTCAGATCTGGATCAGCCGTTAACTGCAGAGGAGCTTGCCTCTTACAAAGGCCCGAAGAAGACCCCTCTGACAGAGGAGGAGGCTCAGCGCCTCGCCTACGAACTCCAGAAAAAACTGAGGGAGGTCGGCTCCCGCTGCCCCTCAGGGTCTGGAAGCTAGAGTTTAGTATTTGGGGCTCTGGTTTCGAAGCTCATGCTCTCCCTACGCACATACGATCGGCTATCCACGAGCTTTGGGGCTGCTTTACCTTAGCTGCTGCAGCTTTGAGGCCTGCACGCATCCGTGGTGGCTGAGCTGGATGGAGAGGTATAGCGTGGTGCAGGCTTCGTGTTGATGTGGGTTGCAGGAACGCCAGAAGAGAGAAAAGCAGGAGGCAATCGAAAAGGAACGGCTCCGCCTCCAGCAATCCAGGGCAATGCTTGAGCAACAGGCCAAGCTGGAGGAGGAGACACGCAAGCGGGCGTTAGAGCAGCTACAGAGAGAGAAAGAGGTGCTATATATATATATATATATATATATATATATATATATATATATATATATATATATATATATATATATATACATAACCACTCAAGCATCAATGCATATCTTGCATGTGCATGCACATTTATGGTAGTTTCGTTAGGATTCTGAGGAAGAAGTGCATTTCGGCGATCTCCCTATATATTTCAGCGCCCTAGACCGCTACGCCTATTTGTCACTTTGCAGGGAACCTACAGAAGAATGCGTGCGAGTGTGTGTTTGACGCCTGTTTATCTCCTTGTCTGGGGCCGGTGTTTACAGTGTTTACAGTGGAGAGTTGCGTTTGCTGTTTGATGCTTAGGGGTGAGGGTTTAGGGCTTGTTTTCGTTTGTTTCTGCAACTGTGTAGGAGGCAAAGAAGGAGCGGGAGCGCCAGCGGGAGCTCCTGCGGCAAGACTATAGGGACCGATTTGGCTGCGAGGTTAGCGGCGCGCACCTTTGGTTGCGTTGGGCAGTTATAGCTTTGGAGCTGTATACAAACGGCATGAGGGTTGCGCAACAGCTGTGAAACGCGGGTGCTGGTGCTGGTACTGGAGCCCTGTCAGGGGTTGTGCTTGCAATGAACGAATAGAGGGGCGGTTCAGGAGCTGCAGCGTTTCTTTGGATATGCATTGTGCTGTGAGTAGATGCCTGAAGACCCGTCGCAGGCGGACCCTGAGGAGCGGCTGGCGAAGATGAGCGGCAAGGAGAAGGTGGCGTACTACAGCAACGCGCTATTCAAACGCTACAAGAAAGAAGACCCCCAAAAGCTCCTCGTGTGCCTCAACACACTCCGCCTCTACGTGAACAACGCCAAAGAGCACCCCACGGATCCCAAGTACCACCGCATCAGGCAAGCACGGCCACATAAGCAGCGGTAGCAGGTCCAACAGCACCAAGAGCACCGAGTCCTGCCGCTGCCCCTGTTGAGATCGGCCTCACGCGATCTCCTGCGCCGGTTGCGGCGCTAGGCAAGCTCCACCGTCGGAGACAATGAGCGAGAGCGCCTAACGTAGCCCTGAGGGCTGCGGCCCTCGCAGCTCGGACTGTCTCATTCGCATTGCTTATTCAGTTTTATAGCCTTCCGAGGATTAAGGGAGCTCAGCGCACAGCAAACTTCGT